CGGCCTTCGAGTGGAGACGCGGCCAAGAAGGCGGAGGACGGCCACGCCTGTGCTCGGCAGGCCCAGGGCGCGGAGGCCACTTACCCGCCAGGTGTTTGGGCTCCGGCTCCGTGGGCTCCTCGCTGGTGGCCGCGCGGGCCGCCTTGGACACGGACGACCCCATGTGTGGCGGCTGCCCTCGGGGGCTCCCACGCGGCGCCGCCCCTTCCGGACGTGCCGCGGGCCCAGGAGACGGAAGAGGGGCCGCGGGCCGGGCGGCGGATCTGAGCGGATGTGGGCGGATGTGGGCATTTTGATGCCCACGCCATTGTGAGGTAGCCCGCACGCGAGTGACGTACCGCCCACGTCGGCACCCCCCAGGCCGCGCATGCGCTCCCTGGGCGCCGTCTCTGCGGGGCATGCCCCGGGGCGACGCTCCCGTAGTGTACCCCCTCGCGGGGCTTGGTGCCAGCCCCTGGCCGCCGCTGTGAGTCTGCACCTGTGACAGAGGCCCCAGCCCCGCCCCAGCGCGGCCCCGCGCGCCCTCTGTCCACGTCTGCCTGTCTTGTGGGGCCCTTTCGGCTCGCGACGCCTCGTCGCTGAGCTGTGCGCGCAGTCCGTTCGCTTCTTTCCGTGTCTTCTCCAGCCGGGGCTCCGCCTGGCATTCTGGCCGAGCGGCTCACTGAGCGCCATGTCAGCTGCCACGTCCGCTGGTTGGGTCCTGAGCCGTGCCTGAGGCGCCAGCACTGGAGTCAGAGCCGCACTTTGCAGATGCACGTTTGCAGCAGGGCCCAGATGCCCCTCTCAGCCCTCACAGCCCCTCCCGCGGGCTTCCTGCAGTTCTTTCTGAGTCTTCAACTGCACTAATTCTTCTGAGTAGTCCGACCCCAGCCAGCACAAGTAAAGAGGAGTCGCGTTGGACAGCACAAAACAGCGGCTCCACGCGGGCCGGAAGCGCTGCAGCTGCGCAGAAGCTGCGGCACAGCTCGTGTGGCCAACGAGGTCGGAAAATGCCAGCACCAGGCTTTTCCATGTTCCTTCCGCACTCGAACCAAGCTACTCGCGACGGCTGCTTTCTTTCAAAGACCTGCTCCTCGCTGTACTGACTTCCTGTCTGGTTCATTTCTATCCTTTGGCTCCGTTCGTCTTCCTGTTTCTATTCGCTGTAGCTGTGACCCTGCACTGCTTGACACAAGCCTGTGCTGGCGAGCGGGAGCGGTACCCCCTTGGGCTGCTTACCCGTGCGCCAAAGATCTTGGCATGTGCCATGTTCACTTTCATTCCTCTCCAAATACTTTCTGCTTCCTCCTTCGATTGCCTCAGTAACCCACCTGTTTAGTGCCTTTCTTCTTACGGTTTACTTCTAACTTCATATATGGCGGTCACAACAGACGCGTCACATGATTTCTGCCTTCTTAAATTTATTGAGACATTGCAGCCCCAACACAATTTAGCCATTGAAAATGCTGCATGTGGACCTGACAAAATGTAATGCAATGTTCTGTGTATCTGTCTGACGTCCATCTGGTCTAGTGTGTCATTTAAAACTGACGTTCACGGCATATTTTCTTTCTTTTTTTAAAGATTTGTTTATCTATGCATCCAGAACTGCGGTACAGGCCAAAGTTGCAGGGGGTGAGAGGATTCCCCAGAGACAGAGAAGGGAGCAGAACAGGATGACTGATGAAGTCCACTGCTGAGGGGAGCAGCGGGCCGGTCAGGAGAGGTCTGCTGCACCCTGGGGGTCTCCTCGGAGGCCAGGGATCAAACTCTCACTGAAGCAGCTGCTGCTAGCTTGCAGTGCTGCGCTTTAATCCCCCTGCACCACCAGAGAGGGCCCCAGCGACTATTTTGTTCAACAGTTTTACTAGCATATTCTCCTGAGACCGTTCACCCGCTTGCGGGAGCCTCAGGCACTCTCTGCAGCCCGGTACCATGCATGCAGGGCCCTGATTTCGGCGCGTTGGTTCTATAACCTGCAACGTCACTGCACGGCTTTATTGTTACTATTTTTTCTGTGATTTTTACAGTTCTCCATACACTAGCGTGTCATCTGCCACCTCTTCCCGGGTTTCCTTTGCATTTCCCTAATGATGAAAAATTTTACAGAATCTTTCTTTTCATATGTTTTATTGCTGATTTGTGTCTCTACTTTGGAGGAAGAGCTGTCTTTGCACACACGTAATTTACTTATTTGTCATTTATTTCAGCTTTATTAAGTTCTACCGGACAAACACAAATGTATAGGTTGTACAAAGTGATGCTTTCCTTAAAAAGAATCTAATAGTTGATTTTTACATCATCTGTGCCTTTTCCATCTCAGTTGTATCCCCGAGGGCTCCCCGTCACCAAATCCCCCGTGTGCCATCACCACAGTCGCATGCATCCCCCCCCCCCCATTTTCGATCCCATCCCCACTCTGCCCCCGGTAAACTGACTCTGGTCTGCAGGTGTTCATCATTATTACTATTTTCTCACCTGGTCTTTATGCTCCTGCTATGAGCGAAGCCATCGGTATTTTTCCTTTTCTTTCTGGCTTATTTAAAGTGATGCTTTTTAAGGCACACCACATGCGGGTGAATATACGCACACGTATATTCGTGTTACTTCCATACTTAGCAAGTCGTCTACACTGCAGCGCACTTCGCGGCACATCCCAAAGCTCATTTCCTGACTGACTTCCTTGTGCCCTCTGACCAGCTTCTCCACCTTCCCCAAGCCTGCCCCTGGCGATTCACTGTTCCACGCTCAGGCTGTGTCTGGCCACTTGCACTGAGCTCGACGCCCTCCATGTGTGTGTGAATGACGGGATGTCCTCTCGCTGCCGTCTGTGTGCCACATTTATGTATGACAATAGCCACGTTCGTTTACGACAGCTATGATCTACATCACATTTCTACCCACCCACCCACCCACCCGTCACCCACCCTCAGATGGCATCCGTATTTTTGACTGTTGTGAATTAATGTTTCAGCCAACGAAATACATCCAGATATGTTTTAAAGATTTATTTACGCACACAAGACCTGCAGTTCAGGCCAGAGGCGCGGGGGGAGGGGGGTCCCCAGATACAAAGCGGGCAGATGGACTGAAGTCCACTGCTGAGGGAGCAGCGGGGAGACGGGCGGGCTGGGGGGTCTGCTGCGCCCTGTGGTCACTCCCTGCAGGGCTGCGGGAGCTTCACAGTGCTGCGCTCTGACCTGCTGGGCCCCCAGGAGGGCCGGTCTGAGGCTGCACATTCCGCCTCAAGGAGCCTTTTCATTGTGCTCTAAGATTCTTTCGGTGGGGCGTTCAGGTCTTCCACATGCAAGACCACAGCTGCTGCCAAGGAGAGTCTTTTCTCACCTCATTGCTCTGCTCAGCTGTTTCTGGGGTTCCCGGCGACTAGGGCGCTTTCTAGGCTCGTCCACACTTGCCCCAGCACACTTGACGTTGCCCGGACCAGCTGCTACCTCTGCCCGGGACACACAGGCCCTCGCCTCTCGGCCCGCCCTGGCCTACACCGTCAGCCAAAGGGAGAGACCGAGGCCCAGCTCCATGGTCCTCCCTGGCACGTGCCGGGCGCTGCGGTGCCATCGAGCCACAGCCATGGCTGACGAGGCCCTGCCGAGCACAAGCTCCGTCTGCAGGGCGCCCCGAGGGCTGCAGCGACGCTCCCGGCATGGAAGCTCAGAAGCACAAGACAGCCTAGAGCCTGCCAGCAGCAGCCGCTTCGTGCTTCTTTCTGTGCTCAGCCCCTGCGGGAAGAGCTTCCTCTGTCGGTCCTAACCTTTAGCTCTGTGGACTCTGACTTTTACATTATCGAAAGGGTCAAATCCTTTACCCTCACTATTTTGATGCAGTCTCCCAGATTTGCCCTCCTGGTCCTTTTCTGATCCCCTCCCCTCCCCCAGTCTCCCGGCGCACTGACGGAGGTGACGCTGAACCAGGCTTTATTGAGTTTCAGGGTGTGCACGAGGCACAGCTGCCCCCCCCGCTCCCCCCCCGCCCCCCCGCTAATGTGCTCACGCCCATGCGTTGGCCACTTCGGGAACGCCACCTCAACGCAGCCGGACGTGGCCAAGTGCCCGTCCACGACGCGTGCATCGTGCTCCAGGCCCCTCCCTGCAGGGAAGCTGCTGACAGCCCGGCATTTGTGCCATTTCTCGGGATGTGTCCAGGGGAGCCACTGCCGGGTGGGTGGAAGCGCTCACTGCACCTGACGAGGCACTTCGATCGGCGCCACTCACACGCCTCCCAGCCCCGCGCGAGACAGCGTGTTCGCGGGTAGCAAGAGTGTCCCCCCAGATGTTTGCTTCGGGCATCCTGCCACGTGGCCAGTGAAATGCCTGCTCATGTCCCTTCGAACTAGATCGCTTCCTTTCACCGCTGACTGATGAGATCCATGGTCTACAAGTGACTTCTGTCGATTCATAGCTGTTTTCTGAAAATCATTGCAGAGGACAAGTCTTTGATTTCATGAACTCAAATCTATGACCCTTTTCGCTTTAAGATTGTGCTTCTGGAATGAAGGCCAAGAGCTTGTTGCCCAAGATTCTGAGGATACCGCTGTGAATTTCTCTAGAATATCCATGGACATCACATTCACGTCCATGATACATTCTGAGTAATTTTTCTGTAAGATATGACGTTTAGGTGGAACCTGACTTTTCACCCGGCACCCCCAGGTCAGGCCTCCTGCCTCTGCCCTTCTGCGCCTCTGCCGAGGTCACTGTCATGACTGCAGCCAGGGCAGGTGTCTCTTCTTCAGAATTGAGTGAGCTTAAGGAACTTTACATGAGAACTGTTGGAAACGAGGGAGGAGAGGGTGCCTTTCCGCCTGCCCAGAGAGTGGCTGGCAAAGTTGGCATCGGTTGGGCATTCATGAAGACTTCAGGTTCCCACTCCCAGATAAGAAGTTTGACCCCCAAGTGATTCAATGCAGGTGGTTCCGGGCGATACTTTGAAACTCCACAAGCAGTAATCTGGGGAGAAAGAGGGAAAAGCAAGAGAAAGTGACGCCCGCGGCTGCCGCCGTGGCTGGGCTGGCTGGCTCGGGCCGCTCGGGCCCCGTGTTCGTGCTTCTAGCTGAGTTCATCTGCCTGGTGCAAAGGCCAGCGCGGAGCCAGCCGCTCAGCAGCGATGGCCCCGCCTTTGCCCGCCCTCACCTGGGCGCGCTCATTTAGTCGTGTGACACGCGACACTTTCACTCCTTTAGCTTGCCCCAGGGAGTACGTCTATCTAGAGGTGAAAGCGAAAGCTCCCAGTGCCACAAGAAATATCTGCCCCGGGGCAGTGTGCAGCCTAGAACAGAGCCTTCCCGGGCCGTTTCAAAGCGTCACTGGTAGGCGGGCCAGGAGCCCCGAGAGGCCCTCGGACGGGCCGCCGGCAGCCGCACGCACGGCAGCTTTGCCACAGAGCAAAACCCAGTTTTACCCGTCCTGTCTGCTGCGTTACTCTAGAGAGGAAAGTTCTTGCAGAAGCTCTTCCTTTTCTTGTTGCAACTCCTGCAAGTGCTGCTGGTTTTGCTCCAGTCTGTCCTCCAACCACTGCAGGAGAGGCCCGCTGACCGCCGACATCTGGCTGCACAGGTTCTTGGTAAACACTTCAACAGGGAGAGCACAGACGTGAGCAAAGCGCCCCCGCGCGCGCCCCCTCACAGCAAGCCCGCGAGAGCGCAGAGCAAGGAGACAGCACCGTCCTGCCCACTAAGACGCTACTTTCCCCTGAGGGCTGTCCACTTTACAAGTGACTTTCCGGGTGGGGCTAGACCCGACCTCCCTCACAGTCTCACCTCGAGGTTGTCCCCTCAAGGCTACGACCCCCATTGTGACAAACAGCAAGATTTCGCCTTTGTTGTGAGCCCTCTCCTCTGTCCACTCACCCGCCAAAGGACGCTCGAGGCGCCGGACACACAGACACACACGCGCACACATGACCGGGCCCTTGTGCCTGCAAGTGTAGCTCAGGTAGCTACCTGGCAGCCAGAGGTGCACAGGGCTCAAGAGAAACGCTGAGGGCGGGACACCCCATCGCCTCACTTCCTATACACCGAAGCTGAGTATTTCTCTGTGACGCTCCAAGAAAGGCCTCACCTGAGCCATTATGTATCTTGGTCACCGAGTCCAGATGCGTAAGGCTGAAGGGATAAGAGGGTGGCGGTTAGTAGCTGCGTAGCAGCAGCCCGAACCACAGTGCGTGCACACCTCTGCCGCGGTGTCAGGCGAAGCGCATCACTGTGGAGCCCGTGACCCTTACTCGTTTGGGGGAAAGACACTGTGCGGGACTCTGAGGTAACAGATGGGTAACTGAAGCATTCGGGAGCTCATAGCACGCGCAGCGCTCGGTGTGGGGCTACTAGGATCTCTGCTTAGCAACCAAAACGGAGTCCCTGTCCTTGAAGGAGTCTGAGGGCCGAGCTGCCTGAGGGGGGCTGCCAGACGAGGTGCGGCGCGCAGGACAGAGGGCCGGGCCGGGCCCCGGTCTACCTGTGGATCCGTCTGTAGGCATCCTGCTCCTCCTGGCACAGGATCTTGGGCAGCTCCACGGCCGACTCCAGGCACACCTTGCCGATGCTGACGTGAGGCACGATGTGGATGGGGATCTCAATTCTCTCGTACCTGCAAGAGCGGCAGTCGAGTGAGCTTCCTGTTCATTGCCGTGGAGGTTGATCCGTGCAGCCGTGTGGGCGTCTCCACTTGTGAAAACAAACTGAATTGGACACTTTCCTGTCTCCAAATGAGGAACAGTAACAGTGTCACGCTGATGTGGACAGAAGACAGAGCCCAGGCACACGAAGCCTGTGATGAAATGGGGACAGCCACCACGGCGGTGACGCAATGCGCCCCCACGGCGCCTGGCAGGGCAGACCCCCAGCCAACAGCCGCTCGCAGGGCGAAGAAGCATTTCGACGAGACGCTGTGATTCTGCAACTTCGTGGCCGGACGGGAGCACACGCACGCAAGCAAGACGGCCCACGCATTGCTCATACTCACTCTGAGCTCTTCTGGGCCTGGACAGACTGAAAACAAGTGTACAGCACCCGGCCAGTCTACAAAACAGCACGAAGGAAAGAAACGTTACCCGAAGGGTTCGTCTTGGAGACACAGCGATGCTCAGCGACTTTAACCTGACCCGCAGAGGCCGCCGAGACCAGGGCCGTGCGCAGGGAGCACGGGAGAGGCCACGTCCGCGGTGGCGCGTGCGAGACCCCAAAGTGCTGCAACGCCGACACACCACGCCCCCCCACAATACCTTTGTGTTTTTGTCTTCTATGAAACACGAAAAAATAAGCCCCACAAAGCCTTGATCCATCATTTGGTACATGGCTTGTGTGCGAACATCTGTAGAGAAACAGAAATAAACAACTGCGGTCAGTTACAGCTCAGACGTGAAGGTTCCACGGCAGAGGCGTCCAGCCCCCAGGCAGCTCAGGGGCATGTCCGCTGGCCCACGTCAGTCAAGCTGTAAACATTTCACTAGGTGAGGAACCAGCGCCCCCAGCTCAGAGGGGACCTGGGCTCGCTCCCGGCCCCAGTCCTCGCGGGCCTCGCCGTCACTTCCCCGAAGGCTCCCGAGGCTCCGCGACAGCCTGGCGGCCTGCGCAGGAGGATCCGGCCACCTCCACCTCCAAGTCAGAGCGCGCCCACGGACACACGTGGCTTCCCAGCCACTGCGCACCTGCTGGCCCGACCGCGCGCCCCCACTCGGGAAGGGTGAAGGAGAATCGCGTCTGCGGCTTTCTCTGCAAACCGCTGAGGGAAGGAGCTGCAGGTCGCCGCCCGCCCGCTGAGCCTCCTCATTTCTCCTGAGGCTCCAACCCAGCGCTGGCGCTGCTGCCCCGCCTCCCGCTGCCTATCGGGGTCTCCTCCAGAGCCCGGTGCGCCCCATCTCTGGCCCTGCAGGACACCCCACTGTGCCGTTTCCAGGCCCTGAGCTACAGGGGACTCTGGCGGGCCAGCAAGTGTCCCTGCGCTTCCTCTTGGCCCTTTACAGCACCCAGGGCCCCTGGAGCCTTCACTGACTTTCCATCTACGCGAAAAATTCGAGTCGTCTGACTTCTGCACTTGCCGATGGCGCATTCCACTTCAGAGCCTAAGATCACCTGCAGTACTGTTGCTGTGCGCTGCAGACCCAGCCTTTCCCTGGTCTCGGGACCACCCTCACCACACCCAGCTTTCTGTCTCGTCCATCAAACTGCACTTAACAGGGGCTGTGTGCTGGCATTCGTGGGCGCCTGCCCGCCTGAGGGTCTCAGCGATCTGGGCCGAGACAGGTCCGGGAGCTCCGGCTGGCACTGGAGCCCGACACTGCGCTGACTTCCCTGCCCAGGGACACGCACCGTGTGATGACCTCACCCCCTGCGAGGGACAAAGCAGGGGCCAACTGGCTGCCCTTAGGCCAGGGGCCCGTGACTCGCACCCAGATTCCCTTCTCCCCACAGAGAAGCATCAGGCTTCGTGCCCGGGCAATCTGCAAGGAGAATTTTGTTCACTCTGGGAACAGAAGCCAAGTGTCAGCTTCCAAGCACAGCACTAAGATTTTATTAAAATGCCCCAGACATGAATCATTCCTGTCAGGACACGAAGGAGTGAACATGAGGACGTGTTGAAGGTTGAATACTGCTTTCCACAGCCACAGGTCTGCAGTGGAGAAGGCGAAGGAGGCTCGTTTCCAGCACAGTACTCACCGACGTGGGAGGGCCACACAGTGATGTGCGGGTGGGAGTGGTACCAGCCCACCACCCTCATGGGCCGGCCTGTCAGCTCTGCCAACCTGTGTGTCTGTCAAGGCATTGCAACTTGGGGGAACAAAACCCGGGAGGCCGGCGAGGAAGCCTCCGAGCTCGAAGCCGGTCGCTGCCAGCTTTCGGGGCAGTGCACGAAGCGTGCCATCTGTGGCTGCACAGCCCGGCTCCAGCCGCCGCTGCCACCCAGCACCATGCCCGCTGGACAGACGCGCGCCCCGTCACTTCTGGGTCCAGCCCACTGCCGGGAGCCCTAGGGATCACCCTTGAGAGGGCGGATTCAGGGCTGCGGGAGGCACAGCCCAGGCGACCGCAGACTGGCACAGCCGCCCACATTGTATCGAGCGTGTATCCAGCGCTAAGCCAGAAGCGTGTAAAATGTAGCCTTCGGGGACTGGGCACATCCTGTTTGGATGGATCCACAGTTATTAGCTTAAGAAAAGACGGCAGCGCTGCAGTGAGTGGAGATGCACGCACTCACTACATCGAGATGTCAACATACAAATCTGGGGGGACACACACGATGAGGCAACTGAAGAAAATTACTGTCCTGACCACAAACAGCTGATTGTCTTCACCTGTGCAGCACCTGTCAACTCTTGGGGATGCTTTCCAAATTAACAAAAGGATGGGCAAAGGATATCTCCAGGTACTTCAGAGAAAACTACCCAACGACTCTGATGGACTGGCAATGAGAAAAACGGTGATGAAGTTTAAGAGGTGATTTTGGGCCCTCTCTGGTGGCGCAGCAGGTTAAAGCACAGCACTGCAAGCTGGCCGCAGCCGCTTCAGTGCGAGCTCGATCCCTAGCCCCGGAGGCGACCCACAGGGCGCAGCACCTGTCCTGACCCACTCGCTGCCCCCTCAGCAGTGGACTTCGTCCATCTGCCTGTTCTGCTGCCCGCTCTGTCTCTGGGGAAGCCTCTCACTGCCCCTGAGCCTCTGGCCTGTACTCCAGTTCTGTGTGCACAAATAAATAAATCTTAACAAAAAAAAAAAAAAGAGGTGATTTTTGTCCATTCCATGGGTGATAGCCGAAAACCTTGGCCACACCCAAAGCGAGGGTGTAGGGAGACAGAGACACCCAGCTTTGGGGAGCCTGGCCCTGAAAAGAGCCTCTCTCCCAAGGAAAGATAGCAAGCTGACAAGAGGCTTGTGAAATTAAACAATCTTAGCAAGACTGGGCATGGCACAGAAGACTGGAGAGAGGCCACCTGGGGACAGACCACACCTCCCACAGCACCTGCTGCCGCGGCGGGACCAAGGCCTCTGGCTCAGGCAGGGATGGCACGAAGTAGTCGCCCCTCCGCTCAGAGGGGAAAGCGGCACATGCTGATGGCCCCAGTGATGGGCCCTGGGCTGGTCAGGCGCAGCAGAAGGATATCTCCGCCTCCGTGGAGGCTGCAGACAGCTGCTCGGGAGAGATCTCCACCCGATCCTTCCTCTTGTCGGAGCGTCGCAAGATGATGACCGAATGAATGTGAACGATTCTCACGGTGTCCACCTGCAGGAAACCCGCACTCACTGCTCGTTCCAGCAACGTCTGCCGTGGGGAGGGGTTCCATTTGTGAAAGCAGATGTTGCTCTCATACATGCACATTCCAGAAACAGAAGTATAAAAAGCTAACATTCAGAATCAACGAAGTGGTCAACTTACACTGTGAGGCACGCGGCCACTGTGTGTGTGTGTGTGTCTGTGTGTGTCTGTGTGCACAGCCCAGACAGTTTCCTAAGTGCCAAATGGAGCTGACTGAGGTGCCAGGGAGGCAGGCGGGTTTAGGTGTGGAACTTAGGTGACAGCAGATGGCAAGATGAGAGAGAAGGTTTGAGTGAAACCGTAGCGGGCTTCAAGCCACACGTGTAGATGAGTGGGAAGGAAGCCAAGTGTTTCGATTCTGGGGCCTGGGGCGTGTGAAGTGTGGGCGAGGCGGAGACAGAGAGGCGCTGGGCGAGAAAGGCCCGGAGACCTGGGACGAGAGGAGGTGAGTGAGGGGTGAGGGCGAGGAGGTGGGCAGAGGCCAGGCCGCCGCAGCGCCATGTGCGATGTGCTACCAGGAAGAAGCGCGGCTGGGGGAAGACGGGCTGGCGGCACCGCCCGCTGCAGGGCCCGGGGCAGGCAGCCTCTGGGCGGGAATTCCCCGGCGGCCGCCCTTCCCTCTCCCGCTCGCACACGTACACACGCAGCGTGCCGCTGCTTGGCCGCGTTTACACGTGAGTCAAAGCCAAGCGTCCCCACCCTTGGGTGGGTGGCTGGCATTGTCCCTGCCTCACAGATGAAGGGAGTGAAGGAAGCTCAGAGCTGTCAAGGCAGAGGGTAGGTCACGTGGCCGGCCAGGCGCACAGCACGCATCGGACAGGATCTACATGGACGTGCCTGCGGCAAGAGTCTGCCGCAGCCAAAGCCTGGGAGACAGCGCAGGAGCAGAGTCGAGGGAAGCGTCAGGCAGGTGTCTGGGGGCTAGTGGACAGCAGGCGAGTCCAGCTGGGGGTGGAGGGGTGGTCACAGCTGCTGTTTCGAGAGAGGCTGAGGGCAAGGCGAGACTGAGACGAGCGTGCCCTGTCCCTTCGCCAGGGGGCTGTGTGGCTCGCTCACAGCGTGAGGGGCAGAGCTGGCCAGGCCTTTCTTTCCTTGACCAGGGCAGGCAGGCACAGCAGTCAGCAGGGGAGTCCGCAGGCGGGGCCGTAAGCTTCAGCGCCTCATCCGAGTTTACCAGAGGAAACATGGGGACCGTGGCCCCGAGCCCGCTGAAGCCCGAGCACTCACCTTCTCAGCGATGGTGCGTAGTTCACTTCCGGCGTATGCGAACTTGGAGTCACTCCTTGGGGGATAGAGAACAAAGGCTCTGAGATTTGGGTGGCAAGGAATAAACACACGGGGACAGCACAAGCGGGGTGCGCAGAGCTGGGCCAGTCAGCGGCGCCTCTGCCACGGGCCTGTCGCAGGGACAGCGGAGAAGAGGAGAAATGTGCCTCAGATGTGCTTCATCTGCAGTTGCCGGGGACAGAGGTCATAACACGCGGCAAGCAGGAGAAGCAGTCACAGGGCCTGGGGGAGCATGGTGGCCTCTGTCTGCGTGGGCGATGGTACTTTGCCAGCTTCACTCACGCACGGCTCCCCACGGGGCATCCACACCCAGCCAGGCGGAGAGCAAAGCGCCCCCAGCCGCTCAGGAAGCTGACAGGGCGGGCAGCAGGACCAGAGCTGTCATCCCAGTAGCGAGAGCCTGGAACTGAGGCCGCGGGTCTTACCTTGTGTCGTCGTTGAGCTAGAGTGGAAAAAGCAGAGAACAGGGTCACAGTGGGCAGGGACTGCAGGGCTGTGGTTTGGGGCGCTCAGCTCCTCTTTCACCCCTGGGCGGCTCGGGGGCGCTGCAGCCTGCAGCCGCGGAAGCTTTGGGGGCTGGGGCGCGCTTCGCTGCCTGCGCTGGGCGGGGGCTCTGGAGGGGCCGGTGTCCCTCCCGGTGACCTCCCGACGTCACCCGACGCAGTTCGGGGCCCCGGGGCGCTCGCTGCGCACGCAAGAGGCGGCCGCAGATGCCCCGGGGCG